CACAAATCAGCGCTCCTCAGGCACGAAAAGATGGAAGCAGGTGAGAGGCCGTATCAGTGTTCACAGTGCGGAAAAGGTTTCATTCAGCGGTCAAACTTCCTGATACACGAGAGGATCCATACGGGCAAGAAATCCTATCAATGCGCAGACTGTGGGAAGCGGTTCCTTCAAAGGTCGCATCTTCTCGTCCATGAGACGACGCATAAGGAAGAGGAACCCCATGAGTGTTCAGAGTGTGGGAAGAGATTCCATCACAACTTAAGCCTGGTGATCCACCGAAGAAGCCACACAAGAGAGAAACCAATTCGTGAGGAAAGCTTTGTTCATAAAATGAGTTTTACCAGAAACGAAAGGGTACAACAACGGGAGAAGTTGTATTCCTGCTCCGGTTGTGGGAAACACTTCAGTTATAGGTTAGCTCTCCTCAGACACAGAAGACCTCAAGTGGGAAGGAAGCCATATTGTTTCCCTCCCTGTGGAAAAAGTATTGTTCCCAAATTAATGCTTCTTGCAGCCCCCAAGGGGCTCCGTAATGGACCAAATTTGCACACCTGCTCCCACTGTGGAAGAGGATACAGCCTGAAATGCAAGCTTGCCAGGCATGAGAGAGTCCATCTAAGAAAGAAATCATATAAACCAGGATGGGGAAGACGTTTCAGCCAGGAGTCCAATATTATTGTGCATGAGAGCACCCACGTGGGTGAAAAGCCACACAAGTGTGCTGGCTGTGGGAAATTCTTCAACACCTGGTGGAACTTCTTAAAACACCAAAAGACCCACACAGGAGAAAAGCTTTACAACTGCGCTGAGTGTGGGAAGAACTTCAGCAATAAATCAACTCTCGTCGTACACCAGAGGACCCACACCAGTGAAAAGCCGTACCAGTGCTCCAGCTGCATGAAAGGTTTCACCAGCAAATCCAACTTGATCAAACACCAGAGGATGCACACGGGGGAGAAATCCCACATCTGCTCAGAATGTGGGAAAAGCTTCATCCAGAAATCAAACCTTCTCCGGCACAAGAAGACCCACAAAGGAAAACGAGAAAATCTGTTCTCGGGTTGTGGGGAAAGTTCCAGATTGCCTATGATCTTGATGAAAAATTCAGGGATGCGTGCAAAAGAAAAACCAAAGCAATGCATCCCCTGTGAGGAAACGTTCAGCGAAAAAACAGTCCTCGTGGCCCATAAGAGAATCCACGGAGGGGAGAAGCCATACTCATGTTTGGGTTGCGGGAAGAGATTTATGTACAGATCCAGCCTGATGAAACATGAGAGAACTCATGCAGGATAACAAAAAAAAATGTGATTCAACCAGTTTGCTTGCACACAAGAGCACCCATATGGGGCTTGACATCTGGAGTTGTGGGTCAAAAGTAGACCGGACAGCTATTTCAGGAGACCTTGAGCAGGGGGTTGGTCTAGAACAGGGATAGGCAACCTTGGCTCTTTTATGACTCGTGGACTTCAACTCCCAGAATTCCTGAGCTAGCCATGCTGAGGGGAAATGGAGAGGTTTCCAAGCTGAGCCTCGCTGGCTCAGGAATTCTGGGAGTTGAAGTCCACAAGTCATAAAAGAGCCAAGGTTGCCTACCCCTGGCCTAGAAGATCTCAGCCCTATGATTCTATGATCTACGCTCACATTGTTGGGAAACTTTTAGTGACTGATGAAACCTTAACACACACTAAAAATGTCATGCTGGGCTCTAAGGTTTGTTTTTGATTATGTGGGGGGAAAATGGAGATTGATTTTCTCTAAATATCATAAGAAATTGAAATTGATTGATTGATTGATTGATTGATTGAAAATCAATCTCCCTTTTTTTCTACTTGCAGGTCATGTATGAAATAACAAAGTATTTTCCAACAGAAGTACTGTACTAATGCTTTATTTGTGTAATTTCTGGATCTATCACAGAGCTTATCCTTAATTCTGAATTTGGGACACCATCTTAACACCTGCATCAGTTATCTTTGTTTTGGCTATCCCTTTTATTTAACTAATTTCCCAGAAAGAAAACATTAGGGCTGCTAGAAGTTCAGTTATCCACATGGAATATTAGAGAAAATTCACAAATGATAATATTTGATTTGGGTGACTCCAGACATTGAGACAGACGATGGAAGAAACGGAGCAAAGATAATTTTTCAAAGTGCAGGAATTCCTCTCATTAGTAATAGGATTAAAAATATTAAATTAACTAAATAAAATTATTAGCCACTTTCTGATACTGGTTACTGCACATTCAATATTTTAGTTGCAGGGCAGTGGGGATCCTGTAAAAAAACAGTTTGATTGAATTAACCCCCAAATCCTTTCGTTAAAAAGGGTCCTAGCCATGTTGAGACAAAGGCAAGAATGGACAAAGTCTTCTTTGAGATAATCAGTTTTTCTTGATCTAGATCAGAAGCTTTGCTTTGAAGGAGAAACACAATCTCAATTTGACCTTTAATCTAACCTCAGCAACTTTTAAGATGTGTGGACTTCAACTCCCAGAATTCCCCCAGCCAGCACATTGGCTGGGGGAATTCTGGGAGTTGAAGTCCACACATCTTAAAGCTGCTGAAGGTGAGAAACA